TTTTTTTTTTTTTTTTTTTTTTTTTTTTTTTTTTTTTTTTTAATTGAATCGACGACGTAGTGATTGTGCTCAAAGATACGGGCAATAGAGAGGAACAAAAAAGAAAGGAGGTGCAGGAAGAAGGTGGAATACGCTGAGCAGAGAATGCAAGAGCATCCTATCTCAGAGCTGGTGTGGGGGAAAGAGAGGGCTAGGAGGCTGGAGGAGTGGGACAGGATGCAGCAAGAGAAGGCGGAGATCTGGGCTGAAAGGCTTAAAGTCAAGGGAATAGTAGTGTACGACCGAATGACCAAGGATTCGTTTCAGAAACTGCTGCCAAGAAGAACAACTCAACCGATGACAGAATTAGCGCACCCATTTTGTGACACAGAGCCTCGAGCCACTCATCTGCTCGATCTTTGCAAGTATGCAGCATGCTACTATCAGGACATCCTCACGTCCAGAAGACCAGGAGAGGGCGCAGAGTCCAACCTAGCGAGCAACAACAGCCAGGTGCAACTTCAAGAGTAAACTACCGAGGCATGGCCGGTTGGATTTAGACCGATTACAATGGAAGAGGCGGGGTCTACACTGTGCTCAATGGCGAAAGGGAAGGTTCCAGGGAATGATGGTTTGCCAGTGGAGTTTTACTTAGTGTTCTGGCAGGTTGTGGGGGAGGATTTGGTCAACATCTACAACGAGGTTTTGACAGGAGGACAGTTACCGCGTAATGCCTGCAATGGCATTATCTCGGTTCTATTCAAGAAGGGAGACAGAAGCGAGATTCAGAATTTGAGACCTATCTCCCTCTTAAACGTTGCATATAAAGTATTGGCTAAGATCCTGGCTAGAAGGCTAGCAAGGTACCTGCCCGATCTGGTGGTAGAAGACCAGGCAGCATTCGTGAAAGGGCGTTCACTTTTTGTAAACATAATCACGTCCATCGAGTCAATGGAAACCATCCAAGAAGAGAATTTGGATTTTGTCATACTTCTCCTAGATATGGAGAAAGCATGTGACCGGGTAAACTGGTCATATATTCTTACAACTCTGAGGTGACTAGGGTTCGGGGAAAACTTCTGCAGGTGGGTGATCATGATGTATTCGCTTTCTACGGCAACGGTAATGATCAACGGACACTTCTCGAAGACTTTTTAACTTTTGATATCTCTTCGACAGGGTTGCCCCCTGACACCTCTCCTCTTCATCATTCAACTGGAAACCGTTCTCTGCAACATTCGAGCGCACAGTGAGACCAAGGGTCTGCCAACTGGGGAAAGAGACTGTCGAGTCAAAGCACTCGCAGACGACTTGTTTGCGGTTGTGGAGAACACAGACTGTGCATTGACAGCCCTGAGAGCGTGTCTGAAGGACTATGAGGAACTATCAGAAGCGGCAATCAACTGGTCGAAGTCGATGTACCTGCTGCCGAGTTCTTTCTCGCTCAAGGTTCAATGGGGTATGCGGCGTGTGGAGAATAATCAGTCTGAGCGCTTCCTTGGGGTGCAAGTGGCGTTGCTGTCCTGCACAGCGGATCAGGACGAGCTCCTGCAACAGAAGGTGCTTCACCGACTTTCAACTTGGGGGAAAGCCCCCCATCTGTCATTAATGGGTAGAGCCCTGGTGGTGAATGTGGCCATGTTTGCCCTGTTGTGGTATGTCAGGAAAATCAGACCTCTAGGCGGGAAGGCTGGAACGATAGTTAAAAAAAGATCCGCAAGATTTATCTGGAAGCCTTTTGGCACAGATGCAGAGGGTTTTATTTCAAAGGAACCCTGGGATACTATATGTTACCCCAGGAAGGAAGGAGGGATGGGGTTGAAGGATCCAAGGAAACAAAACTCAGCAATGCTGGCAAACTGGGGCGTAAAGGCAATGACTTGTAACTCGAACGAACACTGGATCAGGCTGGTGGAACAAGCTCTGTCGAAAAACTGGAATCTGAGGAGAACAGAGGACGTGTGGGTGTGCATTTGGACCGAGTCCTTCTTACGAAGACCGGTGAAATCTGAGTTGTGGACAGGTATATTGAAACACTTCGTGCCTCCAGGCTCAGGCTTGATTTATCAAAGTGTAGGTACTTGACCTATCAATTTTCATTTCCAAGTGGGATTAGATTAACACAATTGCCTAAAGAGTAACGGAGGTGCGCGAAGGTAGGCTAAAGCGTAATGGTCAAAGCCTACCTGACTATGAGACCTACAAGTCAAACAGAGACGAAAGTCGCGTGGCGCAAGATCAAACCGTATTATTTGAGAGAACCAGTTACCAAACAGGAAGTTTTGCTGCAACTTCTCTTTGAGAACCCGCGGTTAAGAGACGAGAGGGACACCTGGTTTGTTGCAGACAGGACAACGGGTAGCTTCGGAAGGGCGTGGATCGAACGAGGAGTCTCCCGAGTTGCGGACATTTGGAACGAGTTCAGAGGAAGCTGGCGAACTCCCTCAGAGCTAAAACAGACACTGGGGAACCTAAAAGGGATAGAAGAAAAGTTGGAAGCAATTATAGCAGCGATTCCCTCAGCCTGGAAGGAAAAACTAAGTCCGGGAGGTTTGGACCCGCTAGACTCGTGGTACAAGGATAAACTGGATGAGGGGATAAATGAATACTGGAAGCTGGTGCAATACACTGAAGATGGCAGAAGAAGGTTTGAGTGTTGGAAAGCTGAAGAGGCAAATGGCTCGGGGAAGCTATGCATGATTGATGAGAATGACTGGATA